GGGCCTCGCTTCCCCTCAGCCCGAGAGGGGGCGGGGTCTGGGCCCGTTAGCACCGGCTCCGGTAGGGGGCCCGGTCCTCTCAGTCCGGGAGCTGGCGAGGTGCCGTCCCCTCGTAGCTATAACTTTAATTTTGAATGTGCGTTACATGTGTGTGTTAATGATAAACCCGTCTGCTAACAAAGAAATAACGAAGACCGGTCATCCAAAACCCGATCAAAGAGAAACAGCTTCTAAGAGTCTGTCGGGTTAATATACCTGGATCATGTATACACAGACATGGGGAATGCCTTGTTTCTGGAAATAATGGACTTAATTAAGTTGTCCCTGATTTAATCACAGACTTGGCATAGAAAGTAGAAAATTAGGTGTCCTTAGTCAAACTGACTTTATTATAACACTAAAATATCCACCCACAGGTCATAAAGACCCCTGCCCAGGTGAAGACCCTCATCCTGCACAGGCGCAGGATGTTATAACATCAGCAGATGTTATAATCATATATAAATTGCTAACCAAGCAGCACTTTTTGGGTTTATTTCCCTTAACCCCACAGCTTTAACATGGCAAGACTCTGTCGTCCTAAGCAATCATCTCAGCAAGCCACCTTACGCATCAGTGGGTAAAAAAGAAAAGAAAATTTATTGTGCAATCTGCATCTTTTGTCCCAAACTACACACACACCTTAAACAACATAAATAGAGGGACTGGACCAGCAGTGAGGTTCCCTTCTGATTGGCAGGGTTGGAAGATGCTGGATCCTCAAAGAGGGGCTATGAGCCCTTGTTTCTACCAACATATACAATGCAGCGTAGGTTTAGGCAGGATACACATATACATACTCATATAGATTTCTGTTTGTGGGGTGGCATTGCCCATGTGCAGGGTAATCACATTATACACAGGGCGTGTTACACCTCAGCACCAACTGCCAGCTGGCTGCCGGCTCTGGTGTCTCCATCGCTCTCAAGCAGGGCCTTCCCACAGAGCCCTGGCACAGCTATGGCACCCACCACACTGACACGGAGGAGGCGCGGTGGCTGCTCCCAGGGCAAAGGGATCCCTCGCACTCGCGGCCTCCTTCCTGCAGCAGGACTACAATGTGGTGGAAGACATTTCTTCAGCTCAACTATCTTGTGTGGTTCAGGAGGAGCTGCGAGCAGAGGAGCCCCAACCATGAGCCCCTAAACTTTTCCAGCCCAGATCTCGTCTTTGGAGCCATTCCCCTCTCAAAACCACCTTTGTGGTGAGGATGCACGTAAAAGCTCTAAGCAAAATGTGCCATCTCGCAGCTGCCTTGCACCGGCCCAGGGGTCCACAGGCTGGATAACCTCTCCAGTGAGTGGGTCTCCTGTGGCTGGGGCTCTGCAGCAAAGAGATGGCACTGGGCGGACTGATGCCAAGGGGCTGGCATGTGGAGAAGGCCCTGGGTACGTCTGCCATCCTGGTTCCCTGGCACCAGGCACTAGTGCTGGGTGAGCCTGCTGGCACCCTGGGATGGGGTATCTCAGCAAGCACACAGGGTAAGCTATGAAATCCTCTGGACCAGATCAGCCAGTGCAGATGTGGGGACAGTGTGGGAGGTTTGTGGGACGCTTGCCCCAGCAGAACTGATGGGGCTGGGGGCAAGCTGCTGCTTCTGCACCCATGCACGAAGACTCAGGCTGCTGAGTGAGCCCAACCTTGGCCCCCAACTTAGCACGGTCCCTGGCTGCAGGCAGGATGGTGGCAGGACAGGAGCTTTGCACTGATCAGGGTGAATGGGATGGGGTTGCAGAAGCCATGGCAGGACAGGCTGTGCCCTCCCAGGAATTTGGGGAGAAGTAGATTGTCACGGCTCCCCACACCCCACACTGGGGCAGCAATGGCTCCTGCCGCACTGGGGCTCCGCCCTCTCCAAAATAATGACCCCAAAACCAGCAAGTGGCAGCAAGAGACGTGTTTGGGAGAGCCAGCCCCCACAGTGCTCCTTTTGTGGCTCCCCAACTGCTACTCAAAGGAGAGTAGGTCAGGATGGGGACCCTCCACCTCCCGGCCAGGGGTATGTGGCTCTGGCTGCCCCATGCTCCCCAGCAGCTCATGCTCCAGCCCCGGTCTCTGGCAGGGCTTCTCCATGTGGGGTGAGGTCTCAGTGGCCCTCTC